AGCAGTCAAGTGCTTTAGCCACTATGCTACCAGAGCTCCCACAAATGTGAATAGTCCTAGTGAATTCTTTGTGATAAGGACTGTGGCTAAAGTAAGAGGGTTGGGAAAAATCAGTCTTCCTCTTAATTGAACATGAAAAATCATTAGTAATTAATTATTTTTTGCATGCATACGATAGGTCAAAAATTATACTAGATACTAGGCATATACTGCTTAATAAAACACAGGGCCTGACTTCATGGAGCTTTTAATGTAGAGCAGGGTTCAGGAAACTATTCTTTAGAAGGCCAGATATTAAATAATTTAGACTTTTCAGGCCATATAGTTTTTTTCACAATCAAATTCTCCCATTGTAGAGCAAAAGCAACCATAGATAGTATGTAAATAAATGAGGGTAGCTGTGTTCCAATAAAACAAGCAACGGTCCAGATTTGACCTGCAGGGCATAACTTGGTCTAGGGCAATGGTTTATGAACTTTTTGAATTGTGTACTCCATCAGTAAAAAAATTATTTTAATTCATTTTTTTATTGTGATTTGGGTGAAAGTTTACAGAGCAAATTCACTTTCCATACAGCAGTTCACACACATGTTGACTGAAGACATTGACAGTTTACCCCAATGCAACAGCTCCCCTCCCACTTCCTCCTGATAGTTACCTCTTCCCTGTGTCCATCCCTCCATGCACTCCTGCCCCCTGAACTGTCTCCCTGTGCATAAACAGCCCTTCTTTCTCCCATGATTGTTCTCTCCAAGGAATGTATCTACCTCAGATATGTGTTCAACTTTTATGCCTGTCTTTTATTTGGCTGGAAACCACAGGTGTGGGTTCAATTCCAGACCTGAAGGGCAGCTAGGGACCATAGTCTCAGTGGTTCCACCAGCAAACCTGGTCTCCCTTTTTTTTTAAAAAAAAAAAAGATTTTAAATGTATCCAAAAAAAAAAAATCAGGTGGATGGAGGGATGGATAAAAGGATAAAATAAATGGATAGGTGTATGATAAAGCAAATAGAGCAAAATGGTAGTTGGTGAATCTAGGTGGCAGGCACATGGGTTTTCCCTACAAAAGTCTTTCAAATCCTTTGCTTGAAAAGTTTTTCATTAAATATTAGAAAAGAAAAAAAATGAGTACTACACAGTATACATTATTAAAAATGGATTTTTTAAAAGAATGATTACATATATATATGTAATATATATATATATATATACATATATTCCAAAAAAAGGAAAGGAGCCCTGGTGATTCAATGTTATGCACTTGGCTGCTAACTGAAAAGTTAGCAGTTCAAACCCACTAGTTGCCCTATGGGAGAAAGATGTGACAGTCTGCCTCTGTAAAGATTACAGCCTTGGAAAGCCAATGGGGCAGTTCTACTCTATCCTATAGAGTCTCTTGAATCATATTGACTCCATGGGCAATGGGTTGTTTTGTTTTGTTTTTTAAAGTAAAGAAAACAGATAAGCAAATAAATTAATAAATTTGTTTTTTAAAGTAAAGAAAACAGATAAGCAAATAAATTACAAGTTATGAAACGCACAATGGGAAAATGAACAGGGTTGATTATATATGAGGAGTCCTTGGCTGTTGGCTTAGAGGTCAACATTATAAAGCATTAGAACAGGAATTAGCAATCTCTGCATCTCTGTTCTCTCATCTATACATGGATCTTAATTAGTGGAATAAAAATATTATAAACTATAAAGTGCTAATAATAAACATTATAAGCTGTAAAGTCTAATATAACAACATATAATTATTATTGCTAGGCTCTCTCAACATGTCACTTGCTATGTCACTGTTACTAATTAAGTAAGTCCCTCGATATACAAACCCCTCTGAGATCTATAGTATTAATTAAAGTTCAGAGATCCCCAGTAACTTGAAATCATAGAATTTTGGAGCCGATAAAAGCCTTAGAAGTCATCTAGTTACACATTCTCATTTTACAGATGATAAAGTTGAGCTCCAGTCAGCTTAATTGACTTGCCCAAAGTCACCTAACAAATTTAAAACATATATGGGCTAGAAACTGAGTTGCTCAACTCTGTTGGCAATGCTAATTCCATGAGCCTACACTTGACCTTCAGGGGATCTACAGGAAGCACCTTGTCAATCATCAGTACAACCCATGACCTTCTTTCCTTAACCCACCCAGCCAGACAGCGGCCTGAGGAAGCCAGGAGTCCTGCTGCCTATGTGTGTTCCAACCACTGGCCAACACTGACCCCTTCTGTAGGGTGTGAGGATGATGCTGGTGGGGTGTAAATCAGTGTAACATTTCCGGGGGGGGGCAATTTGGTAACTTGCACCAAGGACTTCAAAAATATTAATACCCTTTGACTCCAAAATTTTACTTACAGCAATTTATCATAAGAGCAAAATAATATACATACACACAATGATTATAGACAATTATTATTTCTAGGATCAAGCCTTACTTACATTTATACCTCAGGCTTTTTTTATAGAATCAGAAAACAAGGCACCTCAAATATCCCCAACAATGAGCTGTTTTTATATAATTTGCTAAATCAAACTGCCATTATAGATCCAAAGCAGCCACACACAATATATAAATGAATGGCGGTGGCTGTGTTCCAGTAAAAGTCATTGGGCTAGATTTGGCCCATTTATGATATACACATTCAAAGTAATGATTTTTAAAAAAAGCCATTTAATTCTCAATAGGAAAATGTCCATGATACAATACCAAAAAAAAAAAAAAAGCAAAATTTAGAAAAAAATGATGAGAAGAACAGATATTCAGAACATTGCAATTTTAGGTTTGTTTTCTCTAACAAAAGTTTATATATCTGTGTGTGTGAGTATAGATTGGTTGTTTCAAGTAAATAAGATTAGAAGAAATACACAAATATATTGATGACAGTTATCTCTAGGTTGTAAGATTAAAAACATTTTTTAATTTTTTTTTTTTTTTTTTTTAATTTCCTTATTCTATCTTGTGATCTGGAGCTCTGGTAGCATAGTGCCTAAGGCACTTGACTGCTAACCAGAAGGCGGTGGTTCAAACCCACCAGCCACTCCTCAGAAGGAAGATAGGGCAATCTACTTCCGTAGTGATACTGCCTTGGAAACCCAAGGAGGGGTGGCTATGAGTCGGGTCTGACTCGACAGCACATAACAACAACAACAACAACATCTTGGGATCAGGTCCTGTTTCTAAAAGCTGGGGGGAGAGGTTTTGTTTAGTCCTATTTTTTAAAGAGATGTGTGGCAAACTCTGGCCATAAGAAGCATCCTTCCTTACCACCCCTGGGAAGCCTCATAAAAGAAGTTTGAATAGTTTTGGTTGCAACAAGACTGATAGAAATGCTTTCTCAATGAACTGTTATTTCTCTGAACTAGGATCCTGGCCCAGTACCTCATCTGACTTTCCCTATAGTTTTCAGGAAAGTTGACTCTCTCTCAGAGGACATCTCCTTGGCCCAGTCCATTTATGACAAGAAGCTTGTGTCTATGCAAGAAAACCTCCAAGGACTGGGTAAGTGTCCAGTGTCCAGATGTACTAATGGCTAGAATGTAAGGCCAGTATAAATTAGGTGGAGCAAGGACTCCCATCCCTCTCCCATGCCAAGGTGCCCTGGAGGGCTGCAACCCACCAGCCTTCTAGGCACAGGAAAGGGACAGCCAGCCACAGCTTCCTGTTTCCATCTCCAACTGGGGATCCATTCATCCGAGGGGGCTGCTCTCTCAGGATACACCAAGACAGGTGATTCTGTGTGGGGCACAGCTAGCTTTCCACAGTCGAAGCCAGAATCCACAGGTAGAGAAGGAAGCCAAATACAGTCACATTCCCAAAATGTCCTCATGCATCTGAAATTAGTTGTGAGGTCTCCCAAGTCTTCTGACAAGTCAGCCTTAAGTCACTGCCTTAAGCTGTGCCTAAACTCACAATGCTCTGTATCTCCTGCTTAAACAAGGAAGCTTTCCAGAGAGAATGAGACAAAAGGAGCCATAAGAGAGGGGTTTAGAAGTGGTCTTCTCTGATGAAAGAGAAAAATCCATGCTCTGCCACTAAGCCACTGAGTAATATATAGGCAGCCACTTTTCCATGCCTCTGCTTCTCATCAGCCATGGGAAGATAATCCCTGCACTACCTTCTCTGCAAGCTCATTGTAAGGGGATCAAAAAAGACAACAAATATAAAAGTATTAGGAAAATTTTAAAAATTACATGTAAATAGGAGGTCCTTGGCAACTTCAGAAATGTTATGAAGATAAGATGGATAAAGTTTTCTAAATTCTGTACTTCAGATCATAGTAATGACATTTGGTCAAAATGAGAGTTCATAAAGATGGTGAGGCTTCCCCAAGAAGGTTTTATAGCAGGACTTAGAAAGGAAGGAGGGCTGGGAAGCCTCCTACCAATTCATTATGCTTTGAAATATTTAACTTTAAAAAGCAATCTCTGTCCCATGATTCCTTGGTGACTCAATATTTTTCCATTTTTCATGAAGATCTGAACGCCCTCAACAACTGCTCGTTCTGCCATGAGGCTGGGCAGCTGGGGCAAGAGATCAGAAAACTGCAGGAGGAGCTGGAGGGAATTCAGAAGATGCTTCTGGCCCAGGAGATCCAGCTGGACCAGACCTCACAGGCCCACGAACTGCTGTCCACCACTAACAGTCAGATCACCCAAGAGATGGGCAATTGTTCCTTCTCCATCCACCAGGTTAACCAGTCCTTGGGCCTCTTCTTGGCCCAGGTGAGAGGCTGGCAAGCCACCACAGGCAGCCTGGACCTCTCTCTGAAGGATCTTGCCCAAGACTGCTATGACGTCAGGGCTGCAGTGCATCAGATCAACTTTACTGTGGGGCAGACTTCAGAGTGGATCTACGGGATCCAGCGGAAGACAGATGAGGAGACCCTGACCCTACAGAAGATTGTCACTGACTGGCAGAACTACAGCCGGCTCTTCAGTAGCCTGCGCACCACCTCAGCCAAGACAGGAGAAGTGGTCAAGAACATCCAGACCACCCTGGGCGCCTCCTCACAGCGCATCAGCCAGAATTCCGAGAGCATGCATGACCTGGTGCTGCAGGTCATGGGCTTGCAGCTGCAGCTGGATAACATCTCATCCTTCTTAGACGACCATGAGGAGAACATGCATGACCTGCAATACCACACCCGCTATGCCCAGAACCGAACAGTGGAGAGGTTTGAGACACTGGAAGGACGCATGACTTCTCATGAGATCGAGATTGGCACCATCTTCACCAACATCAATGCCACTGACAACCACGTGCACAGCATGCTCAAGTACTTGGATGATGTGCGGCTCTCCTGCACGCTGGGCTTCCACACCCACGCCGAAGAGCTCTACTACCTGAACAAGTCAGTCTCCCTCATGCTGGGCACCACAGACCTGCTCAGGGAGCGCTTCAGCCTGCTGAGCACCCGGCTAGACTTCAACGTCCGCAACCTCTCCATGATCGTGGAGGAGATGAAGGCCGTGGACACACAGCATGGAGAAATCCTTCACAATGTCACCATCCTAAGAGGTGAGACCCAGATCTGGGGGAGCTACAGAACTCCCAGAGGGCGTTGGTGCTCTTGCAAGCTGCAGGAGTACCTGAGTTTAGGCAAAAATCCTAGTGGGCTAGTAAAGTTGTGTAGCAAAAGTCTAGGGCAACTCATAACTTTAAGAAAAATAGTTTCAAATCTCTAGTATAAAGTGTGTTATGGCTCCCGACTTTACATGGTATACAAATCTGTATCTTATTATAGAGGATTTGTTTATTTCCTGTGTTTGGATAGGAAATAAGTAGACCTTGTGTTTCAGAGGACCCCTGGGTGGTGCAAACAGTTAATGTGCTCAGCTTCTAACTGAAAGGCTGAAGCTTTGAGTCCACCCAGAGGTGCCTTGGAAGAAAGGTCTGGAGATCTACTTCTGAAAAATCAGTCAATGAAAACCCTATGGAGCACGGTTCTACTCTGACACACCCGGAGTCACCACAAGTCACTTGATCAAGTGGACTTGATGGCAACTGATTTTTGCCTTTCAGAGACAGTCTCCTCTTGCTTTTTCCCTTCCCACCCGCTTTAGTGCTTTCAGCCATTCTGCTTCTCCCATGCCCATCACTCTGATGGTCTTTTTCTCCTCCAATACCCCTACATGTGTCCACCATCCAAATCTAATCTCAACAAGAGACCCAATAATATATCTCACCCTTAAATTGAGAAGATAGAAAATTATTGATGAGTTCCATCCCCACAGGGGAATTTGTATTTTAGCTGAAGGGACACTGAGTAGAGTTCAAACATCATGAGTTATATCTTGTAATTTTCAGGGATTAGCAAAAAGCATGTGGAGCAGGAGTGGGAGTGGGAAGAGAAGTAGGAACTTAACATTTTTTCAAGCCTCATCCAGTAAATTTTCAACATAAGGCTGGAGAAAATGTTATTCCTTTCATTGATGCTGGTTTTCCTTCTGGACTAGATCACGGCCAACCACTTTTCTAAAATTAGGAAGATAAAGGAGAGCCTGAAACTTATGGGTTCCTGCAATGTTCCTGGTATTTTAATGCATTAATTTATACATTCACTCTACAGAAACATGATGAACATCTATTATGAGGTAGGCACTAGGCTGGTGGAAGGAATTGAAGGGGAACAAAATGGCCTTGTCCTTGCCTTCATAGGCTTGAAAGTTTGATAAGGAACGAGTAATGAGGGCATCTCATACAGTGATAGAGAAGCACATAGGAGGGGCCCCACCTCATTCATATAAGGTAATTAAGGGATATGCGAACTGAGACCTAAAAGCTGAGGAGGACAAACTGAGGTGCAGGAGGATGGGGTAGGTGGGTTGAATAGTTTCAGGTGGAGGAGATGATGCATGCAAAGGCCCGAAGCAGAGTGTGTAGCACACACATAATCTCCTTTAATCCTCAGTGATCCTGCAACTTTAAACCCAGAAAGCCACAGATGAAGAACTTGATACAAAATGAGATCCAGCCAGTCACCTAGCTAGAAAGGAGTGGACACAGGATTGAAATTTAAGGCAGTTTAGATCCAAAGTTCTCAGCTGCCTTGAGTGGCCCTCTGCTCCAAAGTTTCATAAACTCCTATCCTTCTAAATGCACCTGAGCAAATACAATATCTGCTTCAGTGAAAGTATAGGCTTCTGTGGTAGTTCAGTTTGCGAGTCAACTTGGCTGGGCCTGGTGGAGGGGCTGGGCAGCTGGATGTAGTGTTCCCCATAATGAGACTGGTAATCAACTCCATGGTGGAATCTACTGCGAGCAGCTGAGTAGCTGCCTTAGGGACTGTGGTCTGCTTCTTGTGTATAAGCAGAAGCCTTGGGGAATGGTCTCTAGCTTACGGCACACTTGGAACCTGCATATAGCTGAGTCATTGTTCAGAAGCCTGCCATGCTCTGCTGACCTTGGGACTTAAAATGGACTTAAATTAATGGTCTGTCATGTGGTTTGGTAACACCGGGACTGTGCCTTTTTACTTGTCAACCTTGGGCCTGTCAGCCTCAGCAGCCAGCAGCTGTCTGAGTGAAGACATGCCTCTAGCTCCAGTGGCCCAGGAGCAGGAGGCAGAGCTGGACCCCAAGGTTGAGGGGCTTTCATCCAGCCCCTAGAGCCTGGCACTTTGAACTTGGACTTAAAGCCTCCAAACTGTGAGAGAATAAACTCCTGTTTGTTAAGGCCATCCCATTTGTGGTATATTCTTGTCAGAGTGGCACTAGGTAACCAGAATAGCTTCCTAGTGTCATTTTCTGCTGTCTGTTGTTGTTATGTGCCTTCTAGTCGGACCCGACTCATAGCGACCCCTCCTTGGGTTGCCGAGGCAGTATTACTACAGGAGTGCCCCATCTTCCTTCCAAGGAGGCAATTAAACTAGTTACTGAGTATTTCTTTGGCAACTGAAACCTTCTCACAGTATTTCACCTAAAATGGGAATCTATCTGTATGACTTCTAGGCACACTCTTCCAGTAAAGGGCATTATTAGATAGTTCTCATGACTCATGCGCTGGTAATTTTGTGTTTCTGTTACCTTCAACTTAAGAATAAACAAAATATAAAGCTCTCTTGTTCGCAAAGCCCATTCACACACATTCCATTTCAGCCTCATAATAACCCTTCCTTGTACAGTAGACAAGGCAGATGTTTGGTGTCTTCATTTTACAACATAGGTAATTTGAAACTGGGGAAGTTATGATATTAGCTTAAGAATTAATTTAAAGAAAAAATTAGCCCCAGTGGCAACAGAAATATGCTCAGTGACATAAAGTGGAATCCACAAAGGTTTGGACTAAATGATTACAGAGAATCACACTAAGTCCTGAACCTTCACCATGGCTCTGAGATGCACATATCCAGTGTCAAACCAGAAAAGACATGTTGAAAGCATGAGTACACAAATACCCAAAGGGCATCCTGCTTAGGACTTGCTTAGCTGTAGGACACAGGATGGAGAGTAAAGGAGGAGAAAGTAGCAAAAGTGTTGGCAGGGGAACCATTTTAGATCTTCACTCTAAGTAGAGCCCAACAGTTGTCATGGGTCTTCATACTTGTTACTGTCCTAATGATGGCAGAGTTCTCATGGAAGGGCCTCAGCTGAGCTTGAGAGCACAGGTGGGACATTTCTTTGAGCTTTATCTGACTTTCGGCTTGACCTCTGGCATATCTGCTTACATTGTATCTTTGGCCAACATCCCTCCTGGTCATTAAAGTCACCACATGTAAAATCTCTGACATCTGAAAGAAAATTTTAGAAGCCAACTTCATGTCCCTTCATCCAGCAAGAATGAACACTCATTCATTCACCCACAGACAGGTGTTGACAGACTCTGATGCTGGAAATGAGGTCTCCTGCTGGCCAGAGCCAAGCTTGCCTTTCTAGAATAAAGAGAAAGGGGCAGGACTGGCTATAGTCAAAGTGGAAGGTTCCAAGACTCAATTGGTGGGCTGAGGCTGTTAAACTGCATGAGAATGGAGCCTGCCTTCTAATTTGCTGTGAGTCTTTAGGCAGAATACTTATCTCCAGGCCTCTTCTATTGTTGTTGTTTTTAATTTTTATCTGTAATTGCAAAGGTGAGAGCAGCTGATCTCTGAGACCTCTTCCAGCTCTGTGATTAATTCTGAGCCTCCATTTGCTCAACAGAAAGCATGTGGAACCCATAGTGTTTGTGCCTCTCATGTAATATTTATCTCTTCTTACTCTGTAGGATAATTATTTGTGTCTATGCTCTGGTAGCGTAGTGCCTAAGGCATCTGACTGTTAACTAGAAGGCTGGCAGTTCAAACCCACCAGCCACTCCTCGGAAGGAAGGTTGGGCAATCTACTTCCGTAGTGATACTGCCTCGGAAACCCAAGGAGGGATCGCTGTGAGTCGAATCTGACTCTACAGCAGTGAGGTGTTTTTTTTTTTTTTTTTTATGCTACACAGTGTTTATGCTGGGACTATCCTTTGGGAATTGGAGACAGAAAACCATCATCATTTATTAGCTGAGTGGCTTCAGGAAAGGCTGTTGGCTATTTTTAGCTCAATTTCCTCATCTGTAAATAGGAAGGAATATTGATGCCTGCTCTGTCTATCCCATGGGGCACTTGTGCAGTTAGCAGTAGCAATGGATGGGAACAAGTTTTTGTGAAATACAAATGAATGTCTTAATGCAAGGGATTAGAGTCCTCGGGTGGTGCAAATGGTAAACACACTTGGCTAATAACTGAAAGTTGGAAGTTTGAGTCTTGGAAGAAAGTCCTGGCAATCTACTTCTGAAAGATGAGCCACTGAAAACCCCTTGGAGCACTGTTCTACTCTGATACACATGGAGTCTTACACACATGGCATGCCCTATAGCAACTTTAGTTTTTAAATGTAAAGGATTATTATGAATCTAAATTGCTTGATGGTGGAGTCCTTGTCTTACTCATCAAGTACCCAACAAAGTGCCTGGCCCTTCAAAGATACTTAAGAAATATGTTTTCTCAGTGAATGAATTAATGAAAGCATGAACAAAGGGTAGGAGCTGAGGATGGGCAAAAAGGATTAGATTCAGAGGTGTTAAATTTGCATAAGTACCACCATCTATCTGCTCCCACACCAACAGAGTACAGGAAAAGCAGAAAATGTCACATCATTCTCTCATTTAGTCCTACCTGGGGAGATGGCAAGGAGCTCTGGTTAAAGCATTCAACTGAGGTTGGAACCATGGGAGCAAGATGTGACAGTCTGCTTCCATAAAATCCTATGTGACAGTTCTACTCTGTCTTCCAGGGTCACTATGAGTCAAAATCGACTCGATGGTGGTGGGTTTGGTATTTTTGCTTGCGGAGGTGGCAGTGAGGAGAATGCCTGCAGTGGAAGGTGAGTAGATTTGCTTGTTGTTGAGCAGAAAAGGCAATTGACACCAAGAACGACTATCCAGAAGTGTTTCTGTAGATATGGAAGACCTCCTCATAAGATGTGGTCTATTTCTGGTGCACCCTGACTTCTATGGCTTAGCTCTTGAGGGGTGTTTACCAGGGCCCTACCACTTTGTC